CCACCTCTGCCTGCCTACCTGATCACCCCTAACTGCTCGCCTACCAGCCTGATTGCCCCTGACTGCTCCCCTGCAGGCCTTATCGCTCCTAACCGCCTCTGCCTTGCCTCGCACCTGGGACCCAGGATTCCCTCCTCCGGCTGGTCGCAGGCACCCGGGACCTGGGCTTCCCTCCCTCTGGCAGGCCTTAGGCACCCAGGACCCAGGCCAGCTTCATCTGGGCCGGCCACAGCCGCAGGGGACCATGAGTGGGTGGCTTCACCTGAGCCACAGGCTCAGGTGCAGCCGCTGGCGCCCGGGACTGCGGGGCGTGCGGCTTGTCCGTGGGGCGGGTGGCTTGTTCCTCTCCCGGGCCGCAGCCTGGCTGGTCCCCATTCCTCTCTTGCTAGCTCATTTGTGCCTGGCTGGTCTCCATTCTTCTCTCGCGAGCTCATTTGTGCCTGGCTGGTCCCCATTCCTCTTTCCCCAGTGTTGAGTATCTGAGCCGTTACTACGTGATGGCGTGAGGGCATGACAACCATTTGCATATTAGCTCTTTATTATATAGGATAATTACTTTACTTCCGGCATATAAGAAGCTTATTAAAGCAAGAAAGTAGTGATAATTTAACAAAAGAAATTGATAAAACAGACTCAAGGTGTTTCTTAGAACTGGCTCATTTTAAAAATAGCATCTAAAGTATTAAAGACAAGCTATTAACAGAAATTTTAGGGTGTGGAAGCAATATTTTTATCAGAGCTGGGAAGTAGAAGTGGGAGAACATACTTTTGCAAAGTGTGCAAAAAAAAAAGACAATGGGAACCAGAGAAAACTAAAACAGGAGGAAATGAAGAAGATGGGAAGGTGAGAGAAGAAAGCGTATGAATATTTACTGACTATTAAATTATGTATAGTGGTTTTACTTATGTAAATATTATAGTTAAATGTCTATAATTCATAGGCTTATGAATTTCATGAATTTGTTATATAATCACATGAATAGTGATAACTTCCTGTCTTAGTCTATTCAGGCTAATAACAAAAAATAAATAAAACACCCATAGAATCGGTAGTTTATAAACAGCAGAAATATTATTTCTCATAGTTTTGGAGGCTGGAAGTTGAGTGCATTTGGTGTCAGGTAGATACTCACTTCCTGGTACATACACACCGTCATGTTGTGTCCTCATATAGCAGTTATTTAGGATGCAGGAGCTCAAATAAGCTGATTTCTTAACAGAAACATTTTCAGGCCAGAAGGGATTGGCACAAATTATTCAAAGTGGTGAAAAGCAAGGACCTACAACTGAGACTACTGTACCCAGGAAGGCTATCATTTAAAATTGAATGAGAAATAAAGAGCTTTCCTGACAAGAAAAAGCTAAAGGAGCTCATCATCACCAAACCAGTATCATAAGAAATGTTAAAGGGAATTCTTTAAGAAGAAAGAAAAAAGAGAGGAACATATGAATAACAAAATGGCAACAACTGCATATCTATCCTATATAATAAAAGGCTAATAATGTAAATCATCCGAACGGTGGAACCATCAGTTGCTATGACGCGCACTAACCGTCAGGGGGCAGATGCTCAGTGCAGGAGCTGCCCCCTGGTGATCAATGCTCTCCCACAGAGGCAGCGCCACTCAGCCAGAAGCCAGGCTCATGGCTGACGAGCACAGTGGTGGCGGTGGGAGCCTCTCCTGCCTCCACAGCAGAAATAAGGATGTCCAACTGCTGGAGGGAGCAGGGCCTAAGCCGTCAATTGGACATCCCCCAAGGACTCCCGGACTGTGAGAATGTGCAGGCTGGGCTGAGAGACCCTCCCGAGTGCGGGCAGCGCCACTCAACCAGAAGCCAGGCTCATGGCTGACGAGCACAGTGGTGGCGGTGGGAGCCTCTCCTGCCTCCACAGCAGAAATAAGGATGTCCAACTGCTGGAGGGAGCAGGGCCTAAGCCGTCAATTGGACATCCCCCAAGGACTCCCGGACTGTGAGAATGTGCAGGCTGGGCTGAGAGACCCTCCCGAGTGCACAAATTTCGTGCACCGGGCCTCTAGTCTATATATTTAAAAGGCTAATGTGCAAAGTGTCCCCGCGGAAGTTCGAACAGGAGACTGGGAGTTTGATTGCTTGCTATGACATGTGCTGACCACCAGGGAGCAGCCTGGAATGAAGGAAGGCCCTGGCTGGCAGTCAGGGAAGGGAGGCACCAGCCGGCAGCCAGGAAAGGGAGGCCCTGGCTGGCAGCTGGAAGGCCCCAATTGGCCCTGATTGTACACTGGGCCTCTAGTCAGTAATAATCACTTTAAATGTAAATGGATTAAGTGCTCCAATCAAAAGACATAGGGTAGCTGAGTGGATAAGAAAACGAGACCCATATGTATGCTGTTTACAGCAGACCCACTTCAGATCGAAAGACACATAGACTAAAAACAAAGTGATGGTAAATAATATTTCATGCACATGGTAACAAAAAAATAGAAGCTGGGTTTGAATTTATATAGAAAAAAAACACAAAAACCATAAAAAACATAAAAATGAAGGCTATAATAAGAGACAAAGCAGGACAGTACATAATGATAAAGGAATGTTGAGTATCCATCCAACAAGAGAATATAACCCTTATAAACATTTATGCACCCAACACAGGAGCACCTAAATATATAAAGCAAATATTGATGGATATAAAGGGAGAGACAGTAATATAGCCATAGTAGGTGACAGTAACATCTCATTGACATCAATGGATAGATTTTCCAGGCAGAAAATCAATCAGGAAACAGCGACCTTAGAGAACACATAGACCAGATGGACTTAATTGATATTTTTAGAATATCTGCCACCCCAAGGCAGCAGAATATACATTCTTTTCAAGTGCACATGGAACATTTTCCAGGATAGACCTCGTTAGACTACAAAACAAGTCTCTATAAAATAAAGATTGAAATCTTCTGATAAGGGGTTAATATCCAAGATTTATAAAGAAGACAGACAACACCATAAAACCCCCCAAAACAGTTAAAAAATCGTCAGAACCTGCATAGACACTTCTGCAAAGAAGACATACAGATGGCCAGTAGACAGGAAAAAATGCTCAATGTCATTTAATCATAGAGAAATGCAGATTAAAACTACAATGAAATACCACCTCATACCTGTCAGAATAGGAATCAATAAATCAACAAACAGCAAGTGTTGGTGAGAATGTGGAGAAAAGAGAACCCTTGTGCACTGTTCATGAGAAT